AGCCTCATATTGCTCGACTTGTTCAGGATTCTCTTCAACAAAACAACGTGAATGTCATCCCCTGACCGGCTCACTCCCCTGAATTCTCACCAATCGAGCACATGTGGGATGAGATTGATCGGCGCCTTCGACGTCAACCACGTGTTCAACAGACACTCCAGGAACTTTGAAACATGCTCCAGCAGATATGGACAGATACCCCACAGGACTTTGTGCAACGCCTGGTCCATTCCATGAGACGAAGATGCGTTGCTTGCATCGCAACAAGAGGTGGACACACACACTACTGATTTGTAAATTGACATTTTGGAATGTTGATGTTTTTTATGAAATCACGCATTTTCTGAAGTCAGTATGGCAAATTAAACCATTTGAACACTTAAAGGAGTTTTTTATCTGTTGCAAATCGAAATTGTTTCAGATTTGGTAAAAAACATAACTTTGCATAAATCTTATTCAATGTCACAGGAACTTTTGTTGTTCATTATATGTCCGACTCCCTTCTAATGAAAACAAGCAAAAGTACCGGTAAAACGAGTCTCTCGTCGCACGCTATAACAGGGTCTTTGCGGTATGATCTTTGCTGGTGGTGATAAGCTAGTCGATAGTCAAAAGTTAATATAACAATATATTGTCAGTGAGTTGGTCATCAGTTGCTGATTATTAACAGATTAAGGTGAGATAGGTGTAAGCCAATGTGCACCAATGACAAATACAATGAAATCGATAGCAACCATATTTGTTCGGTTTTCTATCTCCATATGTTGCCATGTAGGCTACCATACTACAGAATTATATTTAACGATATTGAATTGTATTATGTTCAATAAACGTAGAAACAAATTTCAAATGATACTTGGTTAGCTGAAACGTTCTGACAATGAGAGAGAATAAAATGGTAAACGAAAACTGAACGAGTAAATAACTGAGCCTACTACGAAATTGCACTGTAGCTGTATAAACAGCCCTGTGATGAAGATGTGAGTTGTTATTAGCTACAATGCCTGTTTAATATATCTGTTCCCGTTTGGATTCCGGTTTAGAATAGTCCCCAATAAACCATGTTTGCACTAACATTATTGTGTGGCATTGTACTCTGACATATGTTGTGAGACATGGCTCATGCTATCAATCACTGGTTTGTCTGGCTAATAAACCTTCTTTACAGAGCGGGGTATATGGAAACAAAATTACATACCGGTAAGGTGTTTTTTTATGATGGTACAGTTTTTCCTAAATTTTAGACAATTATACAATATATATTATATTTTGGGATAGACTATAAATGTATGATTATTAAATATAGTTTTAGGTTTGACTTTTTATATGTTTTCGCAGCAGCAAGTGGGAAAATGGGACACGACCATTCCAGGAGATAAAAATCAAGAATGTTGAATCATTGAGGAATACACCAAATAAACCCTGGGCTGTGAATTACGTTAACATAAGTACAGTTGTTTACAGTTACATTCCACAGTCTATATATATGTTAGTGTTTTTTTGGCTTTAAAATGAATGCTAAGAATGTATTTTTTTTAAATCTATGTTCGTACCACGTTTTGTATTCAACCTCATTCTTGATGTCTCTGAATGAATGTTAAGATTTGTTTCTATCAAACACTTGCATTATATGTTGGAATATTGATAAAGCTTAATCTCCAATTGAATGTTTCTTGTCATATAATATGTTTCATATACCGGCTCGAGATTTATTAAGTTGTTTGTATTTCAGGGAAGTGGATGTGAACACCAAAGAAAGAAGATTCTGGCTATCAATAATTTTGAACATGTTGAAAAGTGTATAAATTTTCAATTATCTAAAAATATTAAAATGTGAACACAAATGTGTCTTGGGGTTCTTTGTTGAATGGTGACGTCGCATGACTGAAAGTTGAAGTATACTATATGGACTTGATTAGAGACCGACCAATTAATATTCAAGGAGGTGGGGACCTGGAACTTTTCTTTGGAGATTACATATTTTTTCGGTCACAGCTACAAAACCTGATATATGTTTATATTTAACTCTATGAGCCTGAAGATAAGCACCTTGCTACTAGATCTATGTCATTCTTGTGGCAGGCAAATTTTTATTTTTTTTCAGACTGAACTATAATTATTTTTGTCAAGAATTTTCGGTGACAATGTATTTTTTCGATAAGATTCCAGGCCCCGACCCTCCCCAGAGTATCAAATGGTCAACCCCATACCATGTCTGCCATTCTTATTTTGTTTCCTGCAGTACTTGCCTAAAGGGTAATGGTGTCTGACTTTGTTATAGTCATATGTATCGAGTTAACAGCTCAGTGGTGTTTTTACATTTTGAGCATTTTCAGCAAAACACGACCTAACTCACTGTTAACCGGGCTATTCGCACCCTTGTTTCAAAACATTGGTAAAGGGAATCTCAAATCAGACATATTCACGTGACTAAAGCATATTCTAAAACATTTCAGGAACATGTTTTTTGGTTGTTTTTACAACATTATAGTGGGGAATGGTCATGAGGTAACTTGTCTCAACGTGTTTCATCCTTGTAACACAAAGTTATTTCACGTTGTTGTGACAACGTCCATGGTAGTACACAGAACAACGTTGTAGGGACGCATTATTATAACATTGCCACATCGTAAAATACAACATTACCACAACGTCAAATACAACGATCCCTCAACGTAAAAATACAACGTTCCCACAACGTAAAATACAACGTCATCACAATGTTGTGACGACGTGAATATAACGTAACACAACGTTAGGCCATGACGTTGTGACAACATGAATGGGAGTCCACAGAATAACGTTATATGGACGTAATATCTCCAACATTACCACAACGTTGTCACAACATGAAATTGTTAGCTTGGAAGGTAATGGCGGGGACACCAGAAACAGGCTTCATACATTGTAGGCATATACCAGGGTATGAAACTCCCAAAAATTTCAGCCAGACCAAAGGACTGGTTAGCTGAAATACTTGCCAGCCCTGACCAAAACCTGCCTGCCCACTATAATCATATGTTTCTCAGGATAAGCTAACGGGGTTTCTTTTGGTTAAATTTTATCATTCATCTTTACATGTGAATTAATGATTATCATCGGGAAATATTTAGAATATTGTCACATATGAAATATAACCCGACCGTCGGGCAGGGGGATTTGAAAATCTGGCAGCGCGAGTTGAAATCAACCCGTCTCGGACGGTCGGGCAGGCAGGTATTTCAAACACTGCATATACCCGAGTAAATTACACATGATCCAACAAATGTTATTCCTGTGTGGGACATAGGAGAATTAATAACATAATTATCTTCAAAAGTATTTTCATTTTTCATGAACTGAATTATTACGTTGATGAATTGAATTACCCTGAACAAACATATCTAAAATGGATGTTATTTTTTAAAGATTTTTCATTTAGCAAAAAACCTATGTTCCAGACACCTATTGGGCCCCGATAGTTATAAAATAACCCATTATCATGAGAATACAATAATATTATATTATAAATGAACATTTAGAAATATGAGTGAGTTTATGCTTTACGTCACATCAGCAATATTTCAGCCATATCGTGACGAGAAGTTATATATTATGCAGGGTTAGAAACTAACAGTTTTTGTCCACTAGTCCTTATAATGATATCACATAGCAAAACCCTTAAAATGGACCAATTTCAACTCGTCCTTAGGATACCTTTACTATTGGTCAGTTTGGTAAGGACTATAGGACTAGTGCCAATTTCTAACGCTGTTATGTATATTTAAACCAAATAAAAACCTGACAATGGACAGTAAAAGTACCAGAATATCACAGAATATCACAGATTTAATATCCATAAAAAGATATACCTAAATAGTCATGAAACATTACAACGTAAAAAAGGGCTATGGATCGCCAGCATCTGAAGTTGGATCACCATGCTAGGGTCTATGGGGACTTACAGTACTTATACTACATGCATGGACCCCAGCCGGATTTACATCACCCCCTCAGCTGTTGGCGATTATGACAAACTTTGCCCAAGTTAAACGAACATGTATACTACGACTAAAAACGTAGCAGAAATAAACATACTTTGAAAGACATGGTCTTACATACCCTCTCAGGGGGATTTAGAAATATGAAAAAGAGTTAGAAATGGTCTAGGGGTACAAAATTACCACAGCCCGATAGTTGATAGCCTAGCTGCTGTACTTCTGTCTCTATAACATCAGTATGTATGTTTATTATCTTAGAAGAACATTAAAACTTCACAGGCTAAACAAATGTAACATAATATTTATTTAGTATTACACAAAACTATTTGTTTTGATGGTGCACGCACTGTTAAAAAATGAGAGACAGCCAGCTGTTTTTGTTTTAAACGCTGACGGTCGACCAACGAACGAGTTGGCCTGTCAGTGTCACTATCACAATCACAAATCTTCGGAACTTACGAAACTAATGCAAAACATCTGTAACAATATCTCGGTTATCATTTTTTAAAATCATACTTTTCATCAATACTATTGCTTCAACGCAGTACTTTAGCGTCTACCCTCACAACACACACAAATCGGGCACACCAAGGACGCATACCTATCTTCCAAATTCATCCCACGTCAATTGAAGAAAGAATGGGGGTTTTCCCAGAATAACATGGCGAGAATGACCTATATTTAAGACCCCATTGATGCGAAGCTGTCATCAAACAGGCTGGCTGCCAACTTAGTGCATGTCAATGACCACTCCGCAGTCAAACATCCTGACACGCAAGTGTCAGAACAATAAACCCACAAGTTTGTCGGAACACTGCTTAGACAGTTGATAAACAGTCGCAGCTAATCCTCCACAAACAGACATATCACAGTTGTCTTTCCTTGGCCATTTCAAAACACAGATTCCCGGAATATTTCGAGATTCATTTGATTATCACAAATGTTTTGGGGTGCTTTCACGCCCTAGTGTCATTAGCGCGACATAAAGTTGGTAAAATTAATGAATCTGAAACAATTTACCCTATGTTTGAGTCGAGGGCTTCACTCGCAGCTCAGTTGCGTTCTCTGGAGTCTGTCCGTCCCATATTCGGAAATGGTGTTGTCCTAGAGGTCACCGTGAGGTCGCGCCCCACTGAATCGACCAATCAGCTGTTTTTATTAGTCGTTCGTGTTCGTTGGTCTTTCAAGTTGCGACTTTTTCAACACTTTTCCCCCGTGCGAGGTATATGCTTCTTTATTTGTTAAGAATAAAGAGTTGACCTAGTGATTTTTAATTACACCGAGTGTTTGCTGTTGTTTAAAGGGAATTATTTTTTCCTGTTTATTAATGTAAAGGCGTTTTTTAAGTGCAAACTATATCCATTTACTGAGGAAGAGGAGGGAGAGAATTTATGGATGTAAACTTCTTTGTTATGAGGAGTATATGCGGCGTATATGCTTACTCCTTCATCAGGTGAATGAATGATATGAGTCAGAGAGTATATATATATATGTAATGTAAGAACAACAAAAGTAATAAGATACAAATGGTGGAAACTCAACAAGGGAAGCCAAAAGATCATTGGCGCTGATAGGTGATTGGCAATTAGGAGATAAACATACTGTGTTTTCAATGTAGAGCTAGGTGACCTGTAGATTTAACCCCGCTAAATTGAATTTGGAACCGAACGCGCAGCGTGAGGTTTCAAATGTTAAATTTAGCGCGGTTAAATCTACAGGTCACCTAGCTCTACATTGAAAACACAGTATGTTTATCTCCATTCTACCATGACTATATAAAACGCGAACTCTTTGGTGTTAGCAAATATACTGAGTGAAGCGGCATGGGTTGAGTTCAGTGTTTTGAGTGGGTTATCGATCTGAATTACGGAATCACCGAACAAAATATGGTGCTGTATATACTCAAGCAGTTTGTTTACACCGTAATACTTCACTCGAACATATGACAGGCATTGAAAGCATATAAGCACGGCAACTTGGTAAGCTAACATGAGGTGGGCATCCCTAAAGAAAACAAAGCAAGCTTTGCACGGCTTTCGCTCTACATCGCACGTCACCATTGTGACGTCATATCGCTCATTGCGACGCAAAAGATATGACGTCACAGTCGTATATAGAAAAGCGCCAAAATTCCAAGATCTCGGTTGTCTCCAAAACGTAAATACATTCCCTTTGTTGATTTCTGTCGTGTTTTTCTGCACGAAATGTATTGCCACACATCCTTTGAATATTGTAGTAACCGCATCTGTGCATTTTGTAACCTGCAATTGTAGATATAATTATTTAAATATGCCTACCGACAATGACTGAAAATAGTTCTATTCTATGAATATTAGCTTCCGCCGTGATGCGGCCGTCAAACCAGCTGTTTCAATCAGAGGGGGTTTATTGTGATTTAATAGCCTCTGATTGACCAATCAGAATCGAGTAAATTCCAAATTCATGGTCACTTTACAATAATTAGCGCTGATATCCATTTATTGCACTGTATATATTTCGACAGTATTAACCCAGCTAACACGAAAATGTTATAAAAAACATCCCTAAAACATTTCACGAAATGTTTTAAAAAATGTTTTATTCACGTGATTTTGTATGGTTCCAGAAACGTCCTAGAAACATTTTCCAGAAACATTTGGTCATAACGTACGTTTCTAAAATGTTTTTGTAAAATATTCCAGAAATGCTTTTAAAAAATGTCTTATTCACGTTATTTTGTCAATATTTCGACAGTATTAATCTGTTTCCAATCTGAAATGGGCTTCACACAATGTATACCCATGGGAATCAAACCCGGGTCTTCGCCGTGACGAGCGAACGCTTTAACCACTAGCTAGGCTACCCGACAGCCCCTTATGAAACATGTATCATTTAGGCCTGTTGTTGTTATATTTGATAATAGTTATATTTATCATATAATGGGTAGGTTTCTCGGCAGGATAAAGCCAATGGATAAAAACGATATCCGTTGGGGTCATATGCGGATAGAGATGCAAATATCAAGGGTCAAGTAGGGACTACTTTCAGTCTTTACAAACAAACATGGCGTCGCCCTTGTCATTCGGCGATCGAGTCAGAATTAACCATCGGGAACCTGGTTAAACTAAAGGGATAATTGCTATCATTATCAAAAGAACAGTCTGATATACTGAAAATCAGTGTCTAACTGTGATGTAGCTAAGGCATTTAATAAGTTTTGGCAACTTTGGAGTTTGAATTGTTACCTTGTTTCGTTTGTCAGGACAGACCGACTGTCAACAACGTCTAAACGTGGCCGTGACGTCTCATAGACTAGGGTTAGAGTAGCTTCCCTTTGACAAAGGGCAGTTACTCTAGCGGACAGACCGATCGATTGCCGCGAAAGGCAAGTAAAAACAAAATTGTTGTTTTGCGTATATGTTGCTTCGCCACTGTATAAGAAACAGATTTTAGTTGGAGCTATATTGGCTACTGTCAGTGTCCGACTGACACATCACTTACCCTGTGACGTAATAAATATTAATGCGTGCATTCCAGGAAAACTCGCAATGTTTCGGTAATGTTTGTGAGAGAGGGAAAGCGATTTTCAAGCACAGGATTAAAGAATGTCATTATATGATAAAGAGGTTATCACGCGAGTGTGTTTGGGGATGGTAAGTATCCTGCATTAGGAATAAACATTGTATTTACCACTATGTATCACACAACTCTTAATCGATGGGGATAAGACCGCCTCCGTGGTCTAGTGGTAGAGCGTCCGCTCGGAGAGCGGAAGGCCCGGGGCTCGATCCCCGGCCGCGTCATACCAAATACGTAAAAAGATGGTACATGTTGTACCCTGTCTGGCGCTCGGCATAAGGGGCTAAAACAAGGACTGGACGGCTCGAAGTCAGAATACTGTGTCTGAGTGGTGTATTCATGTTAAACTGCAGCATGGTATATAGAGCTAGCACTATAAATCGGCATCAGTCCGGACTAGTACAAGCAGCAACCACACACACACACACACACACACACACACACACACACGTGCATGCGCGTTGCTACATAAATGCAATAATCTTGGACCCGACTTTTAACCCCATTTCACCTCACCTTGCCTTGATGGGGATAATCAGATATATGTCATTCTATTTTATATACACTTGATATATTCTGAGAATCATTTTGATGAATCAAAGGATAACACAATACCCCTATCCAACGTGTAATGGGTTTTACTAGTACAATAGTGGTATATATGTAAATTTTGTTTTTATTACTTGGCTAAATTTTAAAATAATTGTGTATGTCTTGACCCTGTTCCAATTATTGAGTTATTTCTTGATCCGAAATTGAGTTATGTCTCAGGTCCCATACACGAGTTATGGCTTACAAAGTCAAGGCGTAACCTTGTTTGTTTGTTTGTTCGTTGTTTAACGCCACATTCAGCAATATTCCAGCTTTATGACGGCTGTCTGTAAATAATTGAGTCTGGACCGGACAATGCAGTTATTGACATCACAACCATCGATCTACACAATTGGACTTACCAAGTCAGCGAGCTTGACCACCCGATCCCGAAAGACAAGCATAGTTATGTCTCGGCCCGATATTGAGTTACGTCGTAGCCAGTTATAGAGTTATGTCTAAGCCCGATATATTCAGTCAAGTGCTGTCATACTGTTTTGGGGTGCCAAGGGCCCCACTTAGCTTTACGTTTGTCGAGGACGTTACTCTGCCACTCGCAAGGCCGGGAGAATTCCAGGAGCGATGGGTCCGACGACCGCTACTCCACATTACCAACACAAAACATTATGTATCGACGCGCACTCATGCAAGCTTTAACACAGGACAAAGTTTGATACTCACACACATGTTACCCTTTTCACATTCATGAGACGCCTCAGTTAAAAGCAGAGGCGGTTGTACGATTCCGACTGTATCATGAGCATGTTTTTGTGAATCACTATTAAATAGCGACGATACCAGTTGCTGGCGAAAAGGTGAGCGTATCAAGTTTGGGGATGTCCTCCCAATGTCCGACCCGACTTTGTCACGTCCCTAGACATATCAGACCATGCATGCTTTTGTTTCTATCCTGATGACAAATTACTGAAACTTACTCGCCGGTAATTCACAATTTACTCATTCCCTTAATGATCATATGTATTTTATATCTCATTTTGTAATTTTCTTCTGTATCTCATTGTTTATGTATTCCGCATTTCCTGATTTATCAAAAGGCAACAACAGCATCGAAGCTGCTGCGACAGTAACCGCCATTTTGAATGTTGATTTTGTCGGGATTTTCAAAGGTCACGGATGCATTTTTACCGTATAAAATCTGTTGACAACAGCTCCCCACAGCACGGAATCAGTTTAGCACGAGACCAAGTCTGATATGTCATAAAATCAACCATAATATTCAAAAGAGAAGCAAAGCAGAATCGATTATCCCATGTAGGATATGTTAACCAATTTCAAGGATTTCATCGATACCCGTAAGTAAAGGCGACTATGCTACTGTACAAATATTACTGACATGCCAGATCCTATGTTATACCTCGTATAACCACAATGCATGCATATTCACCACGATATATGACCCGTGAAGATCCGAGGTAGAATAGGTCTTCAGTAACCCATGCTTGTCTTAAGAGGCGACTAACACGATGGTTGATGCATGTCATCGATCCCAATTGCATGGATCGATGCTCATGAAGTCAATCACTGGATTGTCAGGTCCAGACTCGATTAGTTACAAACCGCCGTCATATAGCTGTTGTTTAAAGCCGCACTCAGCAATATTCCAGCGATATGACAGCGATCTGTAAATAATCGAGTCTGGACCAGACAATCCAGTGATCCGTTAGTCGCCTCTTACGGCAAGCATAGTCGCCTTTCAAAGCTATGCATTTGGAGAATAAGAAAAACTTGGACAAAAAGAAAAAGATCTCTCATGGAAAGTTTACTTAGTATTTACAACAAAATCATGAAGGATATCCATGACATTAAACAACAATCAATCAATCAATATATGGAGTGCTAAGCCACTACATACTAACTCTCAGTTCGTTTTAGCTGCGGCTACTGATGCTAAGGAGTTTAATAACGTTGTACAT